AGGTGTCCAAGGAGTTCAGTGCCGGTGACAAAGTGGGGATTGGGCACAGATCAACCTTGGAGGTTTTTCCAACTAAAATGATTCTGGGATCCAAAGTTTGGAGCCAAAGGATTTAATTTAACCCTGTGTTTGCCATAGCTTCAGCAGGTTGCCCAGCTGATCGGGAGATAACAAAGGAAAAGCTGGATGATCCGCTGATGCCCACCGACTACGTACCTGAGGAGCTCCTGCGTGCCTGCCTCCACAACATCTCCCAGGAAAATTACCTCTACCTGGAAAATGACCTCTCCAATATCCTCAGCAACTACGCTTTCAGCAACCCCCAGCTGGCTGTGCTGAAGGAATACCTGGACGAGGTAATTCCAGCCCAAAAATGTCCAGTTTCCACTAATGGGATTGGTCACGGCCTTGTCCTGGTGAATTTAGGATCTCCAAGGGTATGACTCAAATTTCTACTGATGGGATTGTTCAGGGCCTTGTCCTGGGGAATTTAGGATCTCCAAGGATGTGACAAATTTCTATTGATGGGGCCAGTCGGGGCTTTGTCCTGAGGAATTTGGGATCTCCAAAGATGTGATTCCAATTTCCACTGGTGGATCTCTCAGGGCTTTGTCCGGGTGAATTTAGAATCTCCAAGGATGTGACTCCACTGTCTCTCAGCTCCTCTCCCAGGGTTTGCCACCTTTACTGGGAAAATATTTATTTCTTATCTCTTATTTTTTTATCTAATCAGTTTTCCTGACCACCTGTTGGCTCTGAGCCTTTCACGGGGCACCTCATAGAGGAACGTGGCTCCATCCTCCCTCCAATCCCAGTTAGAGAGATGAAAACAGCTCTAAAATCATTCCACCTTTCCCCAGGCTGAGCCCAGCTCCCTGAGCCCTGCTCTGAGCCCGTCCCCTGGTGTCTCCACAGAGGTATCCCAATGGTTATCCTGAGAAAGTGCTCTCTGCAATGGGCCCTCTGCTGCACCTGCTCAGCCCAGAGGAGATCTCCACCTGGAACATGAGCTCTGCTGACTCCCTGGCTGCATTCCTGAAAACTCAGCCTCAGCCCTCGGATTCCCTGGTAGGGGCTTGGCCTTGCTCTCCTGGCTTTGGGGCTGCTTTGGGTTCTGAGGTGGTTGAAGCATCTTTGGTGCCACAATTTTGAGTGGCCCAATAAACTTTATAAAAGAAAGGCCTTGTAAAATCAGGCCTTCCTGTTCTAAGCTAACCTATTAAATTCCCAATAAAAAAATCATATGAATAAAAACCAGCTAGCACAACAATCTATTCTTGTAAAAAAACCATTCACACCTATGAAAACAAGAAATATATCCCATAAAATTCAAGAAAAGTATAAGCATATCTATTAAATGTTTAATAAGCATATAATGTATATAAATATATTAGAAATACATAAACATATAATATACATTGTTTAATAAGCAATAACCCTTACCAACCAATGAACTAGATTACTAGATTTCACTAGATTACTAATTGATTACTAAATAAATATATAAACCTATCTATAAAATGTTTAATAAACCTATAACATATATAAATATATTACATATATAAATATATAACATATATTGTTTAATAAACAATGACCCCTACCAACCCATGAACTAAGCTTCACTAGATCACGAACCAATTGAATGCAAACACAATGCTTTCTAATACCATATAAAAATGGTATACAATAAAAATAATATAAATAAAAATAAATAAAAGAAATAATAATAAATAAAATCTAAATTTAAAATAATAAAATTATATTAAAATAGTGTACAATAAAAAGGAACTATTCTACAGAAAAACCACATACCTCACTTCTGTCTCTAACACAAAACTCACAGCAACATGAACAGATCTGAAATGGTTCCATTTTATTTTTCTAATTATAAAATACCAAGTTTCTTTCAGGGATGAAACCACACCTCCTGATTGAATTAAATTAATCTAATGGATTGTGTTTCCAGGCCTCAGCAGCAATCAAACGCTACCTGGAGCAGGGCAATGCCCTGAATGCCACGGCCCTGGATGCCATTGGCACCAAGTACGTGTGCCTGCTGAATGCCACTGACCTGAAGGCCATCAACCCCTCCAGCCTCAAGTGAGTCCCAAGCTGGGGTGTCTTGGGCTTCTTCCAAAAGCCCTTTCCCATCCTGATTGTGTTTCTGGGGTGCCCTGTGGTGGGAAGCCATGAGGAATCTGAGTCTGTGTTCTCAGAAGGCTCATTTATTATTTTATGATGCTGTAATATATTAAAGAATACTAAACTAAGCTGTGATAAACTATACTAAAGAATACAGAAAAGACACTTAGAGAAGGTTAAAAGATAATAATGAAAACTTGTGGCTCTTTCCAGAGTCCTGACACAGCTTGACCTTGATGAGCCATTGAGTCAAAACAATTCACAGAAAACCAGTGGAACAATCTCCAACCACATTCCAAAAGAGCAAAACACAGGAGAAGCAAATCAGATCATTCTTGTTTTCCTTTTTCTCTGAGACATCTCAGCTTCCCAGGAGAAGAATCCTGGCAAAGAGATTTTTCCAAAAAATATTAATACCACACATCCTTTTCATTTTTTCTGCTCTCAGGGAGAGGGAATTTAGGAAGCACCTTAGAACCTGCCAGGCAGGGCTCAGATTTCCAATGCAACTCTCTTTATTTCAGTCCAGCAGGCTGCAAATCTGACTCTGTGCCTGCTTTCATCTGCAGAAGTGTTAATTAAATTGAATTTCATAGAATTACTGAGTCCTTAAGGTTGGGAAAAGCCTCTCACATCATCACCCAGCACCGTGGTCACCACTAAACCATCAGGTGCCACTTCCTCGTGGTTTTTAAGCATTTCCAGATTGAATTCCTCTGTAAGACTGAATGAAATTAATTTAATTTAAAATTAATTCATTGCCACTTGGCAAACACACAGATTTATTGGGCACTGTAGGAGCCATCATCACCTGAAGGACAAATTCTCAGCAGGAAACTGAGCCATTGTTTTTCCTCTCAGCTTCTCTCCATAGAGCTGGGAATTAGGGATCACCTGTGCCGTGCAGAGAAGCCCAGAAAAACACTCAGAATATGCAAAAATTAAACAGGTTGAAGATAATGAAAGCTTTTTTCACCCTAAATCTTTATTTTTCTGCAGACTGGCTTCTCTGAATCCTTCAGCCTGTTCCCAGGAGACAAAGAACATCTTGTACCAGAAAGCCAAAGAAGCTTTCTCTGACCAGCACCATTCATCTGCTTACTATGAGCTGATTTTGCCTTACCTGGGTATGTAAAAATCCAGGATGCTGTGGGGAAGGAGAACTCTTAGCTATAAACTAAGTGGGTATCAAAATTCATCAAAGATTTGGGAATTTTCAAAGTCAAGTTGTTAAAAGTTTGTCTTTCCAGCTTGTAGATAGCACAAAATATTCTGTACCTGCTTTAAGTTGCCCAAATCTTTTTTCAGACCATCACAGGGAAAACCAAATTCAGGATTTATCTCAAAGCCCTTTTCCATGTCACAATTTTTATTTTTTTTCCCTGTTAAGCCAAGATTTTTTCCAAATTCTCCTCATCCTTCTTTCCCTTGTTTGGCATCACCACAGACTTTTAATGCCCAACAGAATAACTCCCAATAAATAAAGGAGGAGCATCCCCACGTTTTGCAGCTGCACCTCAGTGTGTTCCCAGCCTAGCAGGGTTTGGAGAAATCCTCATTTTGTGCACAGACCCAGCAGTGCTCCTTTGGGGTGTGCCCTCCTTTGATGTTCTCCTTGCTTTGCTGCAGGGGGGGCTCCTGCTGCAGACCTGAAGGTTCTCAGCAAGGACAGCGTGAACATGAACGTGAGCACCTTTGTGACCTTGAGGAGAGACTCCCTGATGGTGAGCAGGGCCTTGGAGCTCTTTAATTCCCTGCATTCTGTTGTGTTCTGTGCTTGGGTTTGGTTGGGCTGTCCATTGGTGGATTCCATCAAATCCAAATTCCATCAAATCCAAAATATAACACAATATAACACA